CTTCTGCCACTTCTGCAATACAAGCTAATACTGCTTATAGATTGAAAATGTCTACAACACACACGATCATATTTCGTCAGCATGTCAGACCAGTACTCCCGTTTGATTCCATGAATTCAATCTTCTTGCATTATTCTAGAAATATCACGAGTATTTCTATCAGCTCCTATTGCAGAAGGAATTCCGATGATAAATCAGAGAAATTACCAAATTTCAAAAATGGAAACTATATTATGTGAGTGACTATAGTAGGTACTTACTTTCAAATCATAATGTACCAACAGGATTCCTTCGTCTTTAGCTGCTGTTTTTGTGCATTGTACAGCAGCAGGATAGAACAATTTTAGAACAACAATTTTAGAACAATGTGATGGCATGAGCGAATTACTGAATAGCCGAAAAATAATATTCATATGCCAAAATAATTGTGAGCTATTTCAATCACTTGTAAACAAATAAGGAAAGTGAGGTTGTGTTTCATTGTTTCACCTCCAGGGTCGGTCATCTGACAGTTCTTGGACGCAACCCATAATAATGGCGGATTGTCATTCTTATAACCTCACTTCAATTTCCAACATTGGTAATAGGTCGCGTGCAAGAACTGTCAGATGACCGACCCTGGAGGCAAAACATATTTGTTTACAAGTGATCGAAATAGTTTTCCACAATTCTTTTGGCATATGAATCGTATTTTTCCGCTATTCATCAATTCGCTAGTGCCATCACATTGTGCTGTTGTAAAATGCACAAAAACTGCAGCGGAAGATGAAGAAATCCGGATGGTACATTATGATTCAAAAGTAAGTACCTACTATAGTCACTCACATAGTTTTCATTTTTGAAATTTGGTTATTTCTCTGATTTCTCATCGGAATTCCTTTTGCAATAAGAGCTAATAGAAATATACCTGAAATTTCTAGAATAATGCAAGAAGATTGGGTTCATGCAATCAATCGGGAGGACTGGTCTGACATGCTGACGATCGTGTGTGTTGTAGACATTTTCAATCTATTAGCAGTATTAGCTTGTATTGCAGAAGTGACAGAAAGCAGAAGGAATTTTGATAAGGAATGACAACATTTCATAATGCTAACTATGTGAGATTACTATTTACCTGAAAACTCATATTCCCTAGTCTCTTGCTGCATTTTTTGTGCATTGTACAACAGCACAATGCGCGGAGGCATGCTTGAATTAATGAATAACGCAAGAAACACGATTCGTATGCCAAAGTATTGTGAAAAACTATTTCAACCTTTTGATTCCTCTGTAACCAAATAAAAAAGTGAGGTTGTGTTTCAATAATTCACAGAAGAATGAGGTTGTGTTTCAATATTTTGCCTCCAGGGTCGGTCTTCGTGCACGCGACCTATTGCGATATATCAGATAAGTCAGATACCTATGTCTATTCTACGATTTTAGATGTCTGTTAGTGAAATAGTGGTATGAAGAACAGAGTCACTGGATAATAATAGTTAGATAACCACCTCGCATTCTGACAACAGCCAATGACGGCTAAATTTCTAGACTGTCCGACGGGTCATACATGACTGTCCAATCACTCAGTTCAGTGTATACTCCACCAGAGGGGTTTAATTCCCGTCCTTTGCGGAGAAGTCATTTGTTTTCTGTTATTTTGAGCTTTTATTCGGTTGGATTTTCAACAACATATGTTATATTGAATGAGCAAATTATAGTATAGGTACCTTTTGATCCATCAAGCGAGCCTTGGTTTGTTTTCAGGGGTCATTTAGCTCAACTAATGTGACGAAGTTGTGTGAATCAAAGTAATATGATAACGAAGGAACCCCCTTCTTAGACCTTGCAGAATAATATCGATTTTTTTGGTAGGTAGTTGAAGCAATGAAGTATTCATAATTATTTCTCTTTTGTAACAGAAAACACAATCTAATGAAAATGCACTTCAGAATATAATCAGTTTGGAATTTGCAGAAGGATTATTCAAAAAATTAATCAAATGACTATGTTTTACCTGTTTCTTTTCATATACAGGGTCCGGTCGATTTAATAGGAATAGTATTGCTATCTCCTAAACGGTAAGAGGTAGAAAGTTTATTAAATTAGAGAAAAGTTGCGTAATTCGAACCTCATCAATATGACAATTCGAACAATTCGATTGATTACTTGGTGAACATAGTTATTTGCTATCAAAAATGATATCTAGCTCATTCAACAAGATATAACAATTCCCGTCTCAGTTGCAAGTTCGGACTCGGAGAGATCATTTTCAATCTCAACATTGATTGAAAATCATTTGAGGAGTAAACTGTAGCAAACAAAATTTCTAATAGCTTGGCAATTTCATCAATACAAAAGGAGACAGCCAGTACTTCAGATACAATGAAATTATGTCATTGTTTGCTAATCAAAAGGCAAGAGAAATAGACTTTTTTTCAGCATGAGTATTCGATTAGCGTTCATATTAGTTATTGGTTACATTCTACGTTCATTACTTTGTGTGTTACCTCCTACAACTATAGTAATCACCATGATTTTTTATGCAATATAGTATATTACGTAATATGTGTTGTAAAACGCATATTACGCAAGAATGGAAAAGTCAATTTGGGTGCGTAATTCCATTCATTTTCTTTTATCTCTTGGAGCGCATAACGTAGGTACTATACTTTACCTACGACCATGTACAGTGTAAAAAACGAATTATGTTGCTTTTTGATAGTCTATCGGCTTAGGTCATGATAATTGGATATAGAAAAAACGAAAAAAATTGGACTCCTGGTCGTACGGTTTCAATATTTTCCGATAGGTGTTGAAAACATACCATCAAAATATCTTCGGAGAAAGCATTCACCTTATTCACCTTAGTCCTTACTCAAGACTTAGAGGTATTTGGTGGATACAGCATTTATATCCGAAATTGACCAACTATCACTCAATATTCTCACGTCAAGACTAGGACTTGAGAAACTCCAATTTTCACCGTCGCTTCCTTTCTACCCCAGGTAAGCCCCATAATAGCAATTCCCTGTTGTGCGATCCAACAGATGGAATGATGAAAAAGAATAAGCAATTCAGGAAAGTGGAATTTGGTTTTTTAAATCAATATTTCATCAGAGGAATTATAGTTTTCATAACTTTATTGAATGGCTAACCAGATTCATTTTACAAAATCATACTTTTATTAGAAAGGGATACTATTTGATGAAGAAAGAAAGAAATCAACTTTTAAAAAACTTGAAACGAAGCTAAAATTACGAACATAAAAAAATATATCCCCATTACGAAATCGTTATTAAAACACGATACACATTGACTTTGATCGGCATATAGAACATATCAAGGTCATCTAAGTACAATAGTTAAAAAATATATTGCATAAACTAGGTAGTAGATTCTTATATCTTCGTCAAATATTATACATTTAGATCACATGATATGATAATGTATCCTTTATAATACATAATAATATAATAACCATATTATAAGATTACCTCTACTCTTCAACCTTTGCAAAATAATGGTTTATGGATCGAGCTTCCGTACTTTCTGGCATATTGAACCTTAATTTTGCTCTGGATGTTCATTATTCTGGAACTTGTTATCCAACAAATGTACAGGATGGTCCAAATTAGATGTTGATGTCGATGCATGAGGGTCAATTCTCATGAAAATTTCATGGTGAAAACCGCATATCCATATCTATCTTCGTGTCAGAGTTAGGTGTTTTTCCAGATTGAGCATTTTTGAAAAATGGTTTGAATTAGTTTTTTCAACAGGAATTTTTAGTTTTCATGAAAACATTTTCGAAGCGAAGAGTCATCGTATTTTCATTATACCGGGTGGCTACGGAAGTATTGCCTACGGAATATCTCAGTTATTGTATGAAGTAGGTTTGTGAAATTTGGAGCGTCGATATAATGACATAAGAGCTAGAATTTGAGCATATTGACATGTCGAAGTCAACTTCCGGTCTGACCGGAAGTAACATCAACTTTCTTATTTTAAATGGAAACCCTATTTTTTTTCTCGCGTCATTCAGCATTCAATTTCCTTTCTAATGACATATCACAAGTTGGTATCTAACCAGAAACTAGATCAAAAAAAAATATTATTGAAATTACCGAGTAGGCCGTGGAAGCAAAATGAAAGCCAAAAATTGAAAAGTTGGCTATGGACACCATACGTCACTTGATAACAGTTGCTAGTACTGTGATATTTTATTTTCATTCGTCGGCGTTATAAAAAGCCGCCAAAAAAATATTGGAAAAATTGGGAAAAAACAATACTCTGTAGGTCCATACCTTAAATAGGAACATACAACTTTTTCTTGCCTGTACTATTCAGCATAACCATTCCTTTCTAATGATATAATAGAAAGTCATTTTTTGAAATGAAATACCAAAAAATCCAATTATAATTCTTCAAATAACAAAAAAAAACAGATTTATCGAGAAAAAAATTCAAATTGATAGGATTAAAGATAAAATAAATTCAAAACAAATGTTCGAAATGCATGGTTATGCTGAATAGTACAGGCAAGAAAAAGTTGTATGTTCCTATTTAAGTTATGGACCTACAGAGTATTGTTTTTTTACCAATTTTTCCAATATTTTTTTTGACGGCTTTTTAAAACGCCGACGAATGAAAATAAAATATCACTACTGTGATCAGTGACGTATGGTTTCCATAGCCAACTTTTCAATTTTTGGCTTTCATTTTGCTTCCACGGCCTACTCGATGAATTTCAATAATAATTTTTTTCTGATCTAGTTTCTGGTTAGATACCAACTTGTGATATGTCATTAGAAAGGGAATTGAATGCTGAATGAAGCGAAAAGAAAAAAAATAGGGTTTCCATTTGAAATAAGAAAGTTGATGTTACTTCCGTTCAGACCGGAAGTTAACTTCGACATGTCAATGTGCTTAAATTCTAGCTCTTATGTCATTATATCGACGCTCCAAATTTCACAAACCTACTTCATACAATAACTGAGATATTCCGTAGGCAATACTTCCGTAGCCACCCGGTATTGTTTCATTTTTGTTGGTGAATTTGGTCATTTATTGCATTCTGAAGGTCCAATATATCAAAAAGTGGGAAAACCAGTCAGCTAGATTCACCGCTGCGTATATTTGAATTCAGATAGAAGGGAACAGATACCAAAAAAGTGTGAACATTTTTAGGATGTTCCTTTCTAAAAATATTTGTCATACAAATCAACCCATATAGGAAGAAAACTGGAAAAAATCATAAAAGATAAAATCTGAATCAATACTATACTACTACTAATAATGAAAACTAAACTTGAATGCAGTCACAAGAAAAAAAAATACTAGGAGGAAGGAAGAGGTAGTATTATACACATTTGTCGATAAAAATAGAATTTTCAAATACAACAAACTAACCAAAAAAAAAATACCATGATTGTCTTCAGTCAGAATAAAATTTCTTAGAAAAATAAAAACAGGAAGTACCACAGTTAATCTTTATACTTTGAGACGTGCACTCTATATCGCAGTTCAGTAGTAATCAGACTAGCAACATCATGGTAGTGAAAGCGTATCCCTTCCTCAATACTGTTCAAAGGCTCACAAGCAGCTTTGAAGTACGCTCTATTCCCCGTCCCCGAAGTATCAATAATATCAATATCAAAACAGTACTCCGAACTCGCTTCGGCAGGACCAATAAACTGCATCACCCACATGAGCACCTCGTCATCGTAAGAATAACACAACTTGAACAATTTCCCATCAAAAGGCACAACGTAGCACTCCTCAACCGACTCCCCCTCCTCAAAAGGCTCGGAAACCATATCGAACTCCAGCAAATTCTCGTAATGCTCCTTGGTCACGTGATCGTACACCTCGGCCTGCGTCATTTGGGCCTCGCACTCCAAAGAGTCCTTGAGAGGGCACCCGATAGTGCCGAAAACGCAGCTGGCCTCGTGCCTAAAGTTGGGAAAAATTTACTCACTTGCTAACTCACTATTTTCATGAAATACACTGACCAACAGAAACAACCGGCCAGCATAAAAATCAGCCAAACTGATCGCCCTGTAAAGTTGATTCTTGTCCGATTTTCGTGAAATTCCGTCCAGAACGTAGATTCATATTTCGAAATGTAGGCCTGAATTTTATTTCCCAAAAAAAGCTGATGGCTTCATCATTATACAGGGTGTCCCAAAATTAGCCTGCCAAACTTCAGCAGCGGCTTTTACGACCAAAAATAGAATTAGTCCAATAAATGAAGGAGGAAAAAAGGCAAAGTTAACGTTAATTACGCACTATTTTCATCTTCCGGTTGGAAGTAGCTCTTGGTACCTCATTAAACATGAGACAAAGTTTGACTGGAAAATGCGTGCGATGGCGGAGAAAATGGCCCCAAAAGACCAGAAAAATAGCTTTTCAGACAATATCTCCTAAAATATGGTAGTTAGAGATTTTCGGTTCAGATAAAAATTGAAGTTCAGTTAATTTTCTACAAAAATGGTCCTTATCATTTTTCTCGAAAATTTGCCCGGTTTCGAGAAAAACGGCACGAAGCGCACCTCGAATAATGAGCTTCTGTATGTTGCATGCCGGAGAGCACAGTCCGTGTATTTACACATCGGCGGGGGGACGAATTATTCAATAACTTTGTTAAAAATGCATATTTTCTCATGATTCAAAGTTCATGTGAAAGAGGAATTCTGCTGCTATCATACCCTGTGAATTGAGTCACGCTTGACTCTTTTGGCCATATCGGAACATGGGTCAAACTTTCTGCTGGCCTCGTGCCTAGGGTTTGGGAAAGTTCAACTTTTTCATAAAATATACGAAATTTACTTTAATGGCATAAAGGATACCGCACTTTTTATTTGATCATTTGGGATTTTCTCTCTTTGTTTCTATAAAATGAAAATATGAGTATTCTTTCAATATATGTGTAGTAGGACAAATCAGCTGATTTGTCCTAAAATGTCACTGCATTTAACAAATTTTTCTATCAGGGAACCTAAAAGAAAAATCCAATAGCTTGTCAGTGACAATTTGTTCGGAAAAATGTTTGAAGAGAAGAAATATTTAGCTTGCTTGGGACATTGATGTGAATTGGGACAAATTACATAAAATTAGAAATCATGTTTTACCATCTATCGGGTGATAGCGAAACTAAAACTTCGGTAGATGTCAGGGTAGTCATTCACGGGTGATGAGATATTTGTTTACGTTTAGTGTCAGTGTGTATCAACTTCAAATACAGGTGAGTAAATAACAAGTTTTCATGGCGATTACACTTCCTATGACAGACAATGGATAATTTGACATAGGTACTTCTAGTAATTTCTTAATAATATTTCAGTGTGAAATGTTCTTACCGAATACCACTCTACCTTCAATTAATATCTGGGAATTTTTTCTCGAACACGAATATTTAGAAAATTCGTGTTCTTGGGAAAATGTCCGGAAATAATTGAAGCTCTCGTGATATTATAAGTGGAAATTTTCACTTTCACACCTAAATGAACTATTCCGATTTCCAAACTTTCACATTGGAAATTGGAAATTTCGATCTTACCTCTTGATCTCGGCCGGTTTGGCCTTGAACTTGCACCGGTCGTGCTTGCAGGGGTAGTCAATGAAGCTGACGAGCTGCGCGAGCGCGAAGTTTTGCGTGTTGCCTATCTCGTTTTTGCACGTAGGGCACTCTTTCATCTTTTCCTTGCAGCCCTTGCAAATGCTGTGGCCGGTGAGGCATTGAAAGATCGGAGGCACCATGTATTCCATGCACACCTGGAAGTGGGGTTAGGATCACTGACATAAACTAAAAACTATCTAGAATCTAGACCGTTAGACTTTGCTGAAATACAATCACGTCTAATATATGGCATAATTCTGTGGGGTACCTCCCCAGTCTTCAAAAATTTCTTTTTAATCCAGAAAAAATGTATTCGAACCATCCTCAAGAAGCCAAGGTCTCACCCTTGTACGCCACTGTTCATACAACTTACCATTCTACCTCTAGCTTGTCTGTATATCCTCGAGGTTGCTTGCTATATATACCTCAATAGATATAATCTAATTGCACACACTGACAATCATTCTTATTCAACAAGGAATAACAACCTATTCTATCCACCCAAAAAAAACCTACAACTCAAGGTTGGTAGAACTGATTATTTGCTACAACTAACCTACACTGGCCCTACAAACATGGGTATCAAAATTTTCAACAATTTGCCAGTGTCAGGGATTGTACCACTCACCTCAAATTCAGGAATAGCGAAAATATGTTTTACTCACTTAGTGAGTTCTTTGACTATGTTTCATAAACTCTGTTTTTAACTTTTTCGATGTTATTTTATCCAAATGTTTTATAAAACATATCATTTTCAACTATTATTGTATTGTAGATATAATCCTGACGAATATGCTATACAAGTATTAATTCTTGTCAATCATATTAAACTTATTCTATTCTATTCTATTCTAATCATATTCCAGCAACCCAAAATTCTCATCCGAATTGCTCGCCTGAAAACGCTTCTGCTCCCCAACTGTCGTTCATGACATTGGGTCATGAAGAAGAAGAAGAAGGAAAAATATTTATTTAAGTAGGTGGATAGACCAGACTAGAGTGAGTAAATTGAATAGAGTAACTATAGACCTCCAAATGGCTGCCGTTTCTGGAATGTCATTCGTGGTCAAGTCACTGAATAGCTAAAAATCTGAAGGGTATCTCCCATGCAGTAATGAATTTGCGCCTTCGAAGTGCCCACCTGATGTTAGGTTTAGATATTTGATATTTTCATTTCATCATCTGAATAATCTGAGACTTAGGAGTCCCAAAAATGACGGATTCTAATAGTTAATATCCAAATATAGAGTTTCATGTCCGATTGTTGGATGTTTTGTCTCCAAAGAGCCAAAAACAGCGACAGAGCATGAAGTGAAGTTGAATGCGTAGAACTCAATGAAGAAAACAAGACAGGTGAATGCACCTCCAAATTGAAGGCCTGACCAATAAAAAAGTGTACCACTATAGGCGAGTGGGCGATTTTTTTTTTCATTTCTAAATAGAATCATCATTCAAATATCTTTCAATTTCATATTTTTCATGAATTTTTCGGTCCATTATTAGGTGCTAAAATCATCAATAATGCTACAATTCTCAATAGAGTATTGGTAATATTCCTAATTAGCAATAAAAATTGAATTGTCTCAAAGTGTTCCCTTTTGATTTGAGGCTTATTGTTATTGCTAATAATAAATTTGTGTAAATATTAATAATAATATTGAATCACACTAGAGGACATTTGAATCGGTGAACGTGACAACCCCATGCACGACTTGTCATTTCCGAGGTCATTTCTCAACATTCAGCACAATGTTGCCAAGTCTCCAACATTCATATGATATTTTGTTATGGAGAATAAGAAATATTTGGACAAGCTGGTTGCTATAAAAAGTCAAGAATGAGCTATAATGTCATGAGATAATCCTATTATGACTTGATTACTATTGGTGACTTGACCACCTTGCTTCTTGAGTGGAAATGGAAGATTATCTGACCAATATTGATGGCTACTATTGAAATTCAAGTGACTTTGCAGTCATGCAGTCCACATGGAAATTTGATGACAGTGACATTTCGAATTCAGTTACTGACAGACCAAATAATAATAATGATTAATAGGTCTATGGTTACTGGGGTAATTTTCTCTGATGAACAATGAAGCATGAAAATTACTAGGTACATCAAGTTTGAGTTTCCATAAAGTATTTTTTTCCTGATTTCTTTCCATAGTTACTTCATGATTTCCAAATTTGTTGAACCTCTTTTTCAAAATGTTCTGTTTAATTTCATAACCTTATTTCATGATTACTAATTTGAATAGAAAACATTTTAGAATAAGCAGCCCATTCTGTTGAGATTATTAAAACTCCTTACACAGACATTTTTGAAATTGTCTAAGAGTTTTGCAAATCTCCAGGGAATTGTGTTTGAAAAGTGAACCACAAAATTAGAATTTCTGGATTTTTTTTTTTTTGGCAAATTGGATTTCCATCTTCAGATGAGTATTTGTTATCTATTCCAACATTAAAATCAAATTTTTTCTACTTACCAAACATTCTAGTTCCCTTAAAAAATCCCACTGTATGGTGTTATCAACTTCTTCCACATCTGCTTCAACTGTGGGATCCTCCTTGAATACCTCAATTCTTGCTACTATTGAAACAGGATCATTTAAAATGCTGCTGATCATATTATTATTGATATCTGTCACATCTCCTAGTTTTTTGCTTATTTCATGGGTCTGGATCCCACTACCACTCTTGAGTATTATTTTATAAGAATATTCATCCACAACAGGATCACTACCAATGTAAGTGACAGTACAAGAAAAAGTACCAGTTCTAGAATCATTAGACCGATTCACAATATACAAACTCTCACCATAAGGCAGCAGATAATTCTCTTTATGGCTATTGATGAAGTCTACCTCAAAATTGCCTTCACTCAACAGAAAAGTAGGGTGTTTTTCCTCAAAATGCTGAAGTAAATCATTGGTGAAACCCTTCCATTGGCAAGTTGGTGTTATAATAGTGGGGCAGTTCACTTTTTGGTAGTTGCAAAATCTCTCATGTTTGGGAATATTCTTGGGAAAGAGGTTTTCTAAACATCCATTGGAATTGTGGCTACAGGGGAACTTCTGTTTCTCAGCAAGGTACTCATATACCTCATTGTGTACAGCACCATCAAGGGGTTGACAGCGCCCACAAGTGGATCCATCAGGACTAGTGGAGATTGGGAAATGGGATAAATATTTCTTACACTTACAGCATGAGAGTTTTGATAAGGACTCTGGTTGAACGTAGGTCATTCTGATACTCTCACAAGTTGTTTCAATCTGCAAAAAATGATCATCATCCATAAAAATATAGGTATGTAACTGAGTTTTTAGTAGTAGGGTAGTAGGATACCTCTCGGGATACCTACTGGATGTTTCTAACATTATTTTATTTTTTTGGAGTGTCCTGTATCCTGTATGCTCAAATAACTCCTAATTAAAAGCAAGTATTTTCGCATTGTACATACCTAATAGGGAGCACCTGAGATTTCAATCTCGATTTCAACAATCAGATTGTCAAAAATTCATACCACAAGATGAGAAACATGTGAAAAACTGAAAAACAAAGGTGACTAACCTACTATTCTTTGGAAAAACACCTGACAATCTGAGATGATCTGAGATATTTAAAACAAATATCAACCAGTTATCAACTCCTCTTATCACTTAACAACAAATGAACAAAAACAAAAATACAAAATAAACTCATACAACTATCAAATCAACATTCAAACAAGTGTTTATATTGAGTTATGATATGAGTTCAATTTCATTGCATTCAAATGTTCTCACCTTACTCCTCTTACCCCCCAATCCTGCAATTTACCAAATAGCGAAATTCATTGGCAGGAACTGGTGGAGTGTTTCTCCACTGAGTGTATATTAACCTTTGTTTGTTTAATACATGCGACTAAGAAGGAAACATATACATTGAGTGCAGGAACTAGGAACATTTCACCTGTTTCTGCCAATGGAATTCGCTATAAGTCAATAACAATTAACAATCTTTGACAGATAGTGTCAGTGTCAAACTGAAAAATAAGTTCTGTGGTCTCCAGTTTGACAGTTGAATTTTACGTTCCAGTTTCAAGTAGAGATGGGCACATCGAAAGAAAATCATCGATGTTATCCTACTACTAAAAACCTATAACCTTCCATAGTTAACATGCCTAGGTTCACACGTAACACGATGCAACGGTATCATTATGAATTCCATCAGAAAATTGGTTACGTCACGACAAAAAAGCGCATATATCAGTGCGGGCTTTCTTCGATGGAATGAAGAAACACCCGAAATATTCTATCATCGTCACATCGCCACGGTTATTCGAACGATTATCGCCCGTGTGCGATATATTATTTGCGCTTACTGAACATCGATATGGAAATATTCGATTATCGACTTAAATATGCATCGACTCGTGTGCATCAAAGGGATCATTATCGATTGAGAAAAATTGATAGTTTGCCCATCTCTAGTTTTGAGCACTTTGATTTGAAGTTTGAACAGCTAAAAAAGTTGAAACTTGGAAATAGAAAATGTGTTTTTGTTTTTTATGATTTTGGATTTTTCAAGATTTCTTCAATTTTCAGGAACTAGTTCATACTGTGCCATATGGTATTCAGGAAGAAGTAAAATAGGTATACTGATTCATTTTACAATTTTACGTGATTTTAGATTATTTTATACATACCTTGCAGTTTTGCAGAAAATATGCTGGGATTCCCAGAAGTTTTTGGAGGTCATGGTCATTCATACTAATCATACTATATTTTGATTTTGAAAGTTGAATTATTTTGAGCTCTCAAGTCTCAATAACACTTTGAACAATAATACAAATCCAACTTTTTATGTTCTACTTACATGTTCTAATTTCAACCAAAACTTCTCCATTAATATCTTTAAGTTAAAAATTGACCAATTTTTTGTTAGATTCATTTGAATGGTAGATGTTTCCAAGGCATATCCATTCATTCAACTAGATATTTATGAGTTCCTAGTTGTTAGTTATGTTTAGTTGAATCTATAAACCCAGCAAAAGTTACTCAAAACTTCATTTATCTTCAGGAATAGTTCCATATATTTTTTTGAAGTATTTTATTATTATATGACAAAATGATTGTTTTTAAATTACAAGCGATACAAAAAAATAACTATGCTAGTAAAACGAACATCCCCAATCAGCTAATGCTGGTCTTTGGATCAGTAGATCATACTCTAGCAAACTAGTAGTACTATTTATAGGTAAGTAAAGTAACAAAATCTAGTATGTATAATCTATCTTTGATTCAAACTGTGCTAGTAACTACTATTTACAGATAAGTAATAAAATCTAATAGGATTATTTAGTGCAATGTTTGTTCTTACAGTTCTTACATTCAGCCGTGCTACATCATTCTGGTTTCTTTCATGGTTATGTATGTTATGGTGATGCAGAATTATTCCATTGCATTTTTTCAATGAATTTACTATTTTGTATAGGCATACACTTGACTTGTTCAATTCGGAAGATACACTCTGGTTGATTTAAATTCTCCTTATTGTATAGGATATCATTGGGTGTTCTTCTGTCCATATCAAACAGCATTTTTAAAACCTTATTCTGTGGAATTTGCATTGTTTTGAATTGTGTTTGTGAACAGGTTCCCCAGATAGTTATTAGATATCTAAATAGACTGACAAAATATGCATTATAAATGTTGTATTTCATTTGTTGATTTGTGACTCTGAGTTTTTATAATGCACCTATCATTGGTATATTATTTTAGTACGAATTTTTTCTATGTGCTCAATCCAATTCAGCTTATTACTGATAAGTAATCCCAGATATTTGGTGAATGTAAGCCTAGTCAAAACATAATCTCCCAATTTTTGTATGTGGATGTTTATCATTTCCATATTTTTTGCTGGTAACAGTTTCTGCTTCATTAATTTGCAATGTGCACCAGTATAGATCAGTGCAGTATCATCTGCAAAGGTTAAGTATCTTGCTTGAAGAATGTAATTTTTTAGGCTCAGCACATACAAGATATAGAGAAGGGGACCAAGTGCTGAACCTTGTGGTATTCCACAGTTGATATATGAAGTAACACTATATGTTTTGTTCATATATACAACTATTGTCTTCTTTTTTGTAAGAATGATTTTAATATGGCATAGCATAACCCCCTTATTCCCATTAAATATATAGTTTCCTCAATAAGGTCTGGTGGTCAACAACATCAAAGGCCATAGTTGTACTTTGTGTATTGCCATTTCTTAGAAATCCATACTGGTGTGTATCCAGTAGTTTGTGTTTTCCATGAATTTTGCTATTCTACTTTTAAGTGATGTTTCTATTATTTTTGTGAATACACTTAAAACAGTTATGGTGGGTTTTTAGTTACCCAAATGATTTTAGGTCCAGCTTTATGAATTGGAGTAACCTTGCCAATTTTCAAGTACTTCATTCAAATATAATGCATTCTTGACAAAATTGAACATTCAATTTAGAGCCTACAGTGGTCTGCATTACAATGAAACTTGAATTATCCAGAGCAGCAAAACTTACATAATACATTTTCTGAACAATTTCAGCGACAGCAACACCAAAATAACCATGTCCAAGCTCACCATCCCTGCAGAGGTAATGGACAAGATGACATGCCTAGTGTGCAAAAAGTACCTCTCTGTCTTTCCAATCTATACGAAAATGGACGGCTCGGGGGGCTGCTGCGGCCGGTGCCCCCTTCCGGACCCCAACAATCACGTCCGCGACGAGGCCTTCGAGAACATCGCCAGGTAATTCACATATGCTATGCAATTCCTACCATACATGATTATATGCACGAAAAGACTGACCTCGAATCCCCAACACTGTGCTGCTCGGACCTAAAACTACGTATTAATTTGTTGTTATTGTTTTCTAAATTCGTAACTGGAATGCGATATATTTTTGTAATTTATCAATTAATCAACGATCTCAATGAATATGAGGCAGGCAGATAAGCAACAATTTTCTCTGCGATGAAAAACACTGTATATACCTAACCCATCTAGCGTCTACCTCCTTTGCAGAGAGGGTTTATGAACGCAAAGTTGGTACTCTCCCCTCGTAAGGGTACCTGTCGTGTTTCCATAGAGACATAAAGGTGAATATCTGTCTATCTGTTTCCTTGAGAATCTGAAAAAAAATCAATATATCGCCTTCCGTACGTGCATGGGGATCTGAATTTAAAGAAGTATACTCTGGTCATTTTTCTCTGTGGATCGTTCCTTCGGTTCGGCTTGACTGGATGGCTTTCTCGGATTTTGTTTCAAATATGAAACACTGTGCTTCTCGGATCTGCAACTGCACATCACATATCAAATATCGAATCATATGAATCAAAAATGATCATTATTAGATGCTGTACATACATGGATGTTGAATTAGAAACTCCCCTGAATATTTTTGCAACGTTCGTAGTTGGATTGCAACATATAAGTTTTGTTTCCGAATAGAAGTTTCCTTAGTAGGCTTCATCCACAAATTTCAGGAATATAGCTAGAAAAAGGAAGGAGAAATGAGGTTATACCATGACTCTGTCAGTATATCACTCATAATAAAATAATGAAAATAACACTCACCACTGTGAAAACAAAATGAATTTGTATAAAATAGTCCACTTCTGCTATTTCATTGTTCGAAATTTTTTACTTTCCACAGTTGGAAACACCAAAACAACACACGATCGCGATTATGTAACCACTGATTTGAATGAGAAACACAAAAACACAATACTATCACTCATTTTTCGTGAACACTCTGTTCGGAATGATTATTAATTATTCCTTTCGCGTATTTTTCAATGCCTGTCATAAAATTCGACCGTTCGTGATGACATCTAATATGAGACTGTCTTGTTTAACCACTGACCTCGAATGAACGACTAATAATAAGCTGAATCATACTGCTAACCGATTAATTTCCGAACAAATGATTCATCGATGACTGATGATGATAATGAAATTATACGGAGGAAAATTATATACAGAGTGTTTTCACCGACGTATATCTGGGTTGTATGTGATGTGAATCTGAAAATATTCGAACATATTTTCTGTTATACAAAGTGTTACATTTTTAAAGAAATCATCGCTGTAATGAATACGAAGTTGTATGTTGCAGAAACTCGTTTTCAAAATTCTGACAAGCCAATCACATTTATTTCCCATTACTTGTTCAATATCTATGAAAATCGTATCCAACTCTTGAAAAATAAGAAATTACAATCAGATGAAATGTTCGACCAAACGGAGATATCTCAAAGTTCCCGTTGTATAATATTTTATATGGTTAAATATATTCGAAATGTTCTTACCTATCAGTCCCTTTCAGATATACGTCGGTGAACCAAACACCCTGTATAGTATACGAAATACCAGATGAAGAATTGAACACGGAGGGTGGTAAATTTTTTTTTAGAAAATCTCCCCAGATATTATGAAAGAATTCACCACAGGCTGAAAATATATCTTTTACAAAAATCTCTCGTGATATGAAAAATTTCAACCGGACAGTATGTAGTGGAGAAACAATTTTTGTTTGAAAAAATATCACATTTGAGAATATACAGGGTGGGGCAGTGGACACGAAACAGCGGATCTTTAGGTCGACCGAACTGGATTATATGGAAACGCTGAAATACGTCAGCTATATTTTCGACATCGTTCTAAAATATTTTCAGCAATAACTGACACTGATTTACTATTTACTGACATTTAAGTGGAACAGATGCTGGGTGATCAGAATTCTGAATCTCGAAATCGTTCGAAATTTCTAATTTCTCGAATTGATTGTTGAATTACGTTGAAAAAGTGCATCACCTTCAACTGAGCTAAAATGAACAGTTATCGAGATATTTGACCCAAAATAGGAGTTTGCATAGTAATTTTTTATCTTCCTCAGTAGTAGAAAATTACAAAAAATTTTGTTTTCTCTTTATGCGTGGAATAACTATTTCTGTTCAGCTATAGAATGAGATTTGAGTATCTAATCTACTCAACACCAGAAAATAATTTTTGCAATTTTCTACTACTGAAAATGATTAAATATTACTATGCAATCTTCTATTTTGGGTCGAATATCTCGAATACTATTCATTTCAGCTCAGTTGAAGGTGATGCATTTTCTGAACAAAATTGAACAATGAATTCGAGGAATTGGAAATAATCGAAATTTTATCAGTGGCGTACAAAATATGGAACGAAAAGTTGCCACAACCCCCTGTAGGGCACTACTAGATAAAATGTCCGGAATGGCTTCCTGGTCAAAAAATGACCCATTCAAAGATAAAACCACCGAAATTGAATGCATTATAGGGAATTATTCTTGATATATTGCGAAACCACTATTTTTATTTCTCAACTTCAACGCCCTGTATCTCGAGAACTGAACACTTAAAGACCGTATGTCTCTATCTCAGTGATTATGAAATCACGAGGGCTATCACCAGTCAAGCGTTGTCGGTCGAATTTCGAAACACCCTGTATAATTTATTTAGGTACCTCGTCTTCCCCTGCTCGCACGAAGGGTGCAAAGAGACCATGACCCCCGTGCACTTGGAGGGGCACGAGGCGTGCTGCGTGTTCAGGAAGTACGAGTGCCCCAGCAAAAGTTACTCCAAGTGCGATTGGAAGGGGGCGCTGCTCGGAGCGTCTGGGAGTGACTTGAAGAAGCATTTTCAAGTAAATCTGATTTTTAACTCTAACTCGACAACTCTGTTATTAAAATCACCATTGTCTCTTTCTTCCAGAGTTTGAACATTTTAGGCCAAATTTCAGATTTCAATTTTTATTTATTGTGATGTCAACAATTATATTTCTCTCCTCACAGAGGTATCCTCAAATTCATTTTGAAGAAATGCTATTGTGATTTCTTAAAAATCAGTTTTTTTATTAGTTGTATGATCAATTGATTTCCACCATATAGTTTTCTTGCAGTCGTGTACTCAAAATTTGAGATTTAATTTATTAATTTAATACACACACAGTAGCCTTTTTGGTGAAAACATGCCACTTTTCATAATCCTATAAAATGAGTTCCTAAAGCTCTCCAATAGTTCGTTAGGTACCTACCTATTTTTTTTACATTTAATTTTACTAACTGAAAGTTAATTTTTTGCTAATAAGGATACCTCTTAATATAAAGGACAGAATAGGACTGCGCTCAAATTTATTATGAAAAATTAGATATACCTACTAATTAAATTTCTGACACCCAGATGAATAAATGAAAAAATATATAATAAACTCTTAAATTTCCAAACATGTGCCACTCTTGCCTTGGGTACATTCTTCGGCACTATAGATTTAAAAAAATTACTATTTTTTAATATTTTTTGATAGTTCATAAAACTATGATGCAGCACAATACTTCTTTGATCAATTGTTGACAATTTCAGGACAAACATGCAGATTTATTATTGACCACCCCCTCTTTTGAACTGATATTCAACAACACCCTGGAAGAAAACATGCTCCTCTATCACTTCGAAGAATTGTTCATAGTAAAAAAGGAGATAGACGCACGTAGGGGGTTGTTTTTTTGCACTGTGGAACACTTGAGGTCCACTGAGAACTCAGACACCTATATGTACTTTTTGAGATGTGAAAGTGGAAACAAAGATTACTTTTACAGGTAGATACTATATTTATTCATCAGTGTCAATAATAAGTTTACTCAACAAATTATTATTCACGATTTTTTTTAATCTAACCTAATTTTCAAAGTAGGAAAAATATTTTCTGATATTTGTACCATTTTTATCTGGATCCAGAGGTCCAGAGAAGGCAACAAAACGCAACAACACTACAAAACTTACTATGGATGTTCTTAAGGAGCGTTTACAGGATCCAGCTGTGATTATTGTGAATATTGAGATCATCAAAAGCAACAACGAAGATACTGGAGAAAATAATGTGGCTGAGGTGAGAATCATAGATTTCGAAAAAAATATAAAAAATAGGGTGCTTCATATTCAAAAAAATTAATCTGTGGAGTGTCACACTTTTAAGGATAACCCTGTAAAACTTCTGATAAGGGCCACCCCTCACGCCTCATTGACTCTGGCCGCATTCAACTTCCGGTTATTTTTTTTTCCTGTGGAAAATAACGTAAATATAGAGGGGTAAGCCTCTTTGATGGACATAACTTTGTTCCAAAAATCCAATAAACAATGACCCTTTGCAAATATAGAATATTGGAGTTTATTTCAACTTTTGGAGGTTGTGGGTTTTTGGAAATACTTCCCTTGACATGGGATTTCAAAAGTTCGCCGTTTTATGAAGAAATGAAGTTTTGGTAGAGAGTTGCTTTACAAAAATCTTGAAAAATGTATCTCAATTTGACAATTGACAGCTGTCATCGACAATAATTAAAACATTATAATATTTCCTTTTGAAGAATGGAACCTTATAGATATTTACCTGAGTTAGAAAAGGAAACACAAAACATAAAGTTATTCAAAATTGCGTTTCCTTAGTACAATATATTTTCTAATTTTGACGAAAAATTGAACAAAAATAAGACCAAAATTTAGTTGGTGAGTTGATTTTGCCTGTTACATAGAAGTATCCATCAAATAATACGGTCACAAATCAGCGACGAAATAGACTCGTTTGATATTATCATTAGTGAAAAATGTTTGATTCAAGTTCAGATTTCCCAAATGATATTGAGAAAGCCGCACAAAATGCACTGTTTTCTTCGTCCATCCATATTATTTCCTAAACTACGAAATAGCCACAATGCTCACAGTGGAATGAAATAGTAAATAAATGTGAAAAGCTCACAGTCATTTCCACCCAGTGTTCATAAAAAATGAACAACAATGGTAGATTTCGGGAGAAAAACAACTACTTCCCTGGCTAATGCCACGCAGGATATTGAATTACATCCCCCCGAAATCTATGCATCGACTCGTTTAAACGAATACTGATACAAGTGATTCTTTCCTGAATGCCTATTGATTTCGATTAAGCCAGGCCGCTAGACAACCACAGACCGGTTTCGAGCTCTTTGACTCTCATCAGTGCAGTGTAGTCTCCAGCCAGCAGTCCTAAGACCGCCGACTCAGCGAAGCCTAGCCAAACAAAAATCACTTGTATCAGTATTCGTTTAAACGAGTCGATGCATAGATTTCGGGGGGATGTAATTCAATATCCTGCGTGGCATTAGCCAGGGAAGTAGTTGTTTTTCTCCCGAAATCTACCATTGTTGTTCATTTTTTATGAACACTGGGTGGAAATGACTGTGAGCTTTTCACATTTATTTACTATTTCATTCCACTGTGAGCATTGTGGCTATTTCGTAGTTCATATCACGCCAGTCGGGCTGCCAGCCACTCCCGTATGGGAATTTCAGTTTTGGAGTGATTCTTTCCTCGATTCTACTCAGATGGCGTTACTTTCATTTTATCGATGAAAGACGCCTCGGTGTGGATATAATGCCAACTTGATTTTTGTTTGGCTAGGCTTCGCTGAGTCGGCGGTCTTAGGACTGCTGGCTGGAGACTACACTGCACTGATGAGAGTCAAAGAGCTCGAAACCGGTCTGTGGTTGTCTAGCGGCCTGGCTTAATCGAAATCAATAGGCATTCAGGAAAGAATCACTTGTATCAGTATTCGTTTAAACGAGTCGATGCATAGATTTCGGGGGGATGTAATTCAATATCCTGCGTGGCATTAGCCAGGGAAGTAGTTGTTTTTCTCCCGAAATCTACCATTGTTGTTCATTTTTTATGAACACTGGGTGGAAATGACTGTGAGCTTTTCACATTTATTTCATATTATTTCCATTTCGTAACTGGTGTTGAATTGAACATTTCATCACCACTTGAAGAGTGGCGGGGCAAAGTATTCTAAGTACCAAAAATCAAAGTGTCTGTTTTTTTTAATGGTGTGGCTGCACATACAGGGAGCGCGACACAAAATGGCACAATTGGCACTCAAATCGTATGGCATTCTAAGGGCAATGGCACATAGAACACATCACGAAAAAGAAAAAAACTTGTGCGTAAGACTGCACGTCAGATTAGTCAGAAATGATAACTTCTTATCACTGGTCAGTACTTCTAATATCTTTTGGACAATACGGATGAAATCTGAACGAAGTAATATTAATTTCATGTAATATTACCATGTATTCGACGTAAAGACTATACCGACCGAAACCGACTCTCTGAGCTGAAGAACAGAGAACGGGGAACCACAGACACGTGATACGTAGCATGTAGCCAACAGCCAAAACAAAAATGAAAAACTGTTGTGAATTGTGAATTGTTAATGGTTTAATGATCTGATGCTCGCTACACAATTTCTACAACCGCTTGTGTGAAATGTTGCTTTTGGTTTAACGAAATAAACAGTATGTTTCATGCCTAAAACAGGAGAATACTAGATCAAAACAGTAGATCTACTATTAAACCAGTAGGTCTGGCAACGCTGCTGAAGGTGCAGGTGCAGACGACACAAACATATACTGTGCTAGTCAAAAGTCCCCTCCCCCCCTCGTATCTTTTGAACGGGTATACTTATAATAATGATATTTGGAGGGTGGAAATAAACTATTGCGTCACCTGTTATGACCAGTTGAGAAGCCTACATCCGTTTATTTCCACCCTCCAAATTTCATTATTATAAGTATACCCGTTCAAAAGATACGAGGGGGGGAGGGGACTTTTGACTAGCACTGTATAGGTACTGTCATCCCAGAAAGTGCCTATAGAACTAATCAATTCGAAATTTTGTATTTTTTGCACTCAGATCGCTGCCTCGCCACTCATGAAACATTTTGATTAATGCAATTGGTTAGGAAGAGCGTTATCAAAACTTCCCCCAGTTTTGAAAAGTGTCAAATTACCAGGGGCGGACTGGACCGGAGGGCGGGAGGGCGAAGCCCTCCGCGCCTTTGCCCAGTGGCGCCCCTGCCCTAAGAATCGCGCTTTACGAAGGCCAGAAAGCAACGTTTTTTTTTTATTTTCAAATGCAGACTTCTTACTCGGAATGACGACTTGTTACTTGGAATTCTGGACCACCTGGTATAAAAATTATGTGAGTTTTTACATCTCCTCTTTCATCACAACTTGTTTCATCCAACAAGAACCATTTTTGTGTGATGAATTGGTAATTACCCAATCAATTTGGAAATGTACTGAGTGATACGTTAGTGTACCACTTCCTGTAGCTATTTTATTTTTTATATTTCAAAAATGAATAAAAACTTGCCTCACAGGGAATTTTTATCAATTATAGAATCTGAATTTAAAAAAATGTGAGAGCTATGAGTAGAACATCTTATATTCAGGGTCCAACGATTCAATAGGGACAGTATATTGCTATTTCCTAAACGGTTAGAGATAGAAATTTGATCAGATTGAACAAAAGTTGCGTCAACCTCTTCAATATGACGTTTTACAACTTCAAAAAATGTCAGCCGTTTCTGAAATATTTTGAAAAAACTGAAAATCACTGATTTCGCTTTTATTCATTTGCTTAGTTGATATTTGGGAAAAACTATTGAAATTTTGTAAAAGCAGATGATTTATCATGATGAAGAAGTTGGGAAGTTTGTCAGAAATATTTTTCAATATTTTCAGATATTCAACATGCAACTTACGTTTTTCTTATGGGCGCTATATCTATTCTTTATATACCATTGAATGAAAATAGCGCTGAAGAACAGTAGAAACATTTTCAAATGTGGTAGGCCATGAAAATAACTCAGTCGTCATGACTACAATATTAATACTTCTTAATAACCATGAATAACACGCTACATTATTACAAAAGGCACAGAAAAACTCAAAATATAAATTTTTCGTTGAATAATCGAGATACTATTTCCTCTAACTATTATTGAAGGTTTTCATTTAGTGTAAGACTTGGTCTTGACATACGTTTTATTCCAGTTATATTTCTATGATTAAATTTAAATTGGTAAATCTCTGAAAATAATAAGATAGAATATTTCTGAGAATCCCAACTTCTTTTTCATCCCTGATTAATTACCTGTACACACAAAATTTCAATATTTTCTCTCTAATATTAACCACGAGAATAATTAGTGAAATCAGTGATTTTTAGTCCTTTCAAAATATTTCAGGAATGGCTGACATTTTTCGAAAGTGCATGAACTTTCTATTTCTTACTGTTTAGGAAATAGCAATACTGTCTCTATTGAATCGTTGATGAGACACTGTATATTTCTTTACCATCGGAAAGACCTCTCAAAGAGCTTTCCAAAATCACATCATTCAATATAATCATCTTCCATATTTTTCAATTCATGAGTTTGATCGATTTTTGAACGATTTCTGGAATAAAAAATAATGAGAATAATTGCAAATCTGATCAGTAGAAAATTTAAATGTTATCATTGTCATGGCCTATACTCCCAAAAACCATTCATAATCGATGAAACTGTTTGTTTGGAATCGTTTTAAAAGCCTATATTCAAAGGAATACATGCAGAATGAATACATGCAGAAGATGATGATTTTTCAGATAGTGAGAATGTATCTGTTTATTCGAGAAGGAAATAATATCGGGGTTGTCTTCAATTTTTCATGCAATATTCCAATATTGGGCCAAATCCGAGTTGAGATTCGGAATAAAAAAAAATGGTGCACTTCTACGCCTCTGTATAAACACTCAGACAATCATTTCATGTTGCGCCCTTTGATCCACAAAGCCCTCTAGCTTTTTTCAACCCAGTCCGCCCCTGCAAATTACATTTCAAAATTAGAAAATGAACCATTCACTATATATAGTTTATGCATAGTCTCTTATAGTGCGACATGACGGTAGCTACTTGATCTTTCTTTTATATAAAACAAATGAATAGCACAATATGAAAATTTAGTTGTCTCTGGTCAGCGTTTCGAGATGAACATCAACCCCAACGTCGACTGGCAGATGCTGTCGGAGCTCGAGTGCCCCATCTGCCTCGACTACATGCTGGCGCCCATCTACCAGTGCGTGAGGGGTCACAGCATATGCGGCAAGTGCAAGAAACGCGTTCTCGAAACTGCCGGCAACTGTCCCTCCTGCAAGCAGCCCTTCCACGACACACAGAACTTCTCCCTGGAAAAGATGTCCCAGCTGATGGTTAGTATTATGAGGATTTCGGAGTAGAATTTCATTGGCCCAGCGGCCGATTCTGGGCGGGGCTTCTGTACACGGTCAGTCGGTCGTAATAACTATGGCTGTTTGTAACACAACTCGAAAAACACCTTCAACTGATTTATCAAGTCGCTCTCACTCTCTAGCTAATATCTGATCTGAGATAATTCATGCATTTTCATAAAATTGCGAGAACCTTCAGCAGTCTTCTTTCATCTTCCGCGTAAACAAGTGGCGCGAGTCTATTTTGCAAAATATTGTCTCGGCACAGTATTTTTGAAATTTTGTAGTAGAATGGGGTAGGTTCGCTAGGAGTTCCTGTACTCGACACTTTTGCATTGACGTTTTGTTTATTTAGAATAAAGACACTTTTACAATCACTGACAGTGAGACATAACCATAACTAATAAGATGAAAAAAGGAGAAACTGATAGTACACAAACGTACATGATATTAATTCCAAGGGTTTGTCAAATTACGAACACATCGGGAAAATAATAAGATTCAAGTTTGTGCTGCTTCTAATCTGTAAAAATACTGGCACAAACTGCCGGCAACTGCTCCTCCTGCAAGCAGCCCTTCCACGACACACAGAACTTCTCCCTGGAGAAGATGTCCCAGCTGATGGTTAGTATTTCATAAACTTACTTATCGCTGACGTCTGTGTGCGACCGTCTGATATATTATTGGAGGCGTCGTCCAGACTCATCGGCTCAGCGGCCGATTTTGGGCGAGGCTTTTGTACCCGGTCAGACGGTCGCAATAACTATGGCTGTTTGTAATATAACTCGAAAAACACCTTCAACTGATTTATTAAGTCGCTCTCACTCTCTAACTAATATCTGACATGAGAGAACATTGCAAGATCTTTCGGCAATCTTCTTTCATATTCCGCGCAAACAAGTGGCCTATGCTTCTTACAACACATATTACGTTACCCTGTGTCACCCGGTATACTGTATATGACTGTATTGTCACTCCAGGAAGGTGAATAAACATTCAGAAAACAATACTGGCACCTTTTGGGCAAAAATTGAAGCCTCTGAATTCATCAAGACTTCTTTCCATGTATAACAATTTCGAACCAATTAGAGCAGTGGTTCCCAACCTTTTTCCAGTCATGACCCCTTTTGGATTTGCTTAAAAAGTCGCGACCCCCAATTGAAAATATTGACATCTCCTTATTTAATATAAAAAAAAAACAATTTGATAGCATTCATATTATTTATTTGGTATAATGTTAATGGGATGACTGAGCTTGCATCTGCATAACAAGTCTCAAAATTCTTGTTTGAGTGCGTGTCAAAGCCAGTCTTATGTCATCTTGAACATCCAGTTTATTTCTCGCCTTTGTTTTCATTTGCAAAAGAGTTGAAAAAACACTTTCACAGAGATAGGTCCAAGCAAATGGCACTAGTACCCGCAAAGAAAGCAGAGCGACATTAGGATATAAACAATCTATGGCACACCAAAATTCAGTCAACGTTTTTTCCTGGAATAGGACACGTGCTGTGGAATCATTTTTGAGATCTAAAAATTAATCAGGAACGTCGGCAATATCTAACGAGGCATGGAATAGGTTCCTTACTACTGCAGCTTCTTGGTCAGACAGCTCGGGAAAATAACGTTGAATTTCATATTCAAGTGATTTAAGGTGATAATCAATTTCCTCTTTTAGATCCCCCGCAATTCAAATACACCTCCGAGTATTTTCTTTTTCTTTCCTCCATCACGCTGAAAAAAAAAACTGTATTGAATAATTGAAAACACCTTGTATGTATAATGTTATTTCTTACTCACCAAACTATTCAGAAACAAAAAAATAATAAATAAAACCACTTATTAAACGTCGTAATGTTTTACAAGTTAGCCTGAGTTCCGAATAGCAAATTCCACAACAACACCTGTGAATCCCCCGTGTTGATATTGCAATGCGCCTGCGGACTGGCTAATGGGCGGAGAAAAAGCGAGAAGTGTTGTTGCCAAATGTAGAAACATTTACCTATACATATTGCAATGTTGTTGAAACTTGCACTGGTCGAAATTTTTGGGCCTAATGTCGACTCCCCCCCCCCATATGTACAGTCGTATTCAATAAAAAAGCGTACAAGTATTAAAAAGAGAGGATTTCGGGATCCTAGTTCTAGTTGTGTAAAACTGGCTCAGCCAATCCTTTGTGTTTTGGAGAACGTATTACAACTTTACTGTCAACATTTGGTGAACAATCATTCCCGATAGAACGTTTTATGCAGAATAGGATGACGTTAATTTCTCTCTGTAATATACTTGTACGCTTTTTTTTTTGAATGCGACTGTACATCGCGACCCACCGGTTGGGAATCACTGAATTAGAGAGTTGAATGTAATTCGAAGACACCTCCCTAGGTGTACCCGTGCAAGTTCCACAAGTCGGGGTGCAATTTCGCCTCCAAATCGGCTGAGATAATGGTGCACGAAGATAGCTGCGAGTACGGCTCCTACAAGTGTCCCGTGGATACAGAGGGCACCGTTTGCGAGTGGATCGGCAGCAGCTCCAAGGTAAGCGACCGCAAATAATGGGGAAGTTTCCTTCAGATGAATCTTCATAATTTCACTTTTGTGTGTCCAAGATGTACATAATGGCGATCGATAAAGTCCAAATCGTTTTTATTCTACACTACTATTTCTGCAACCGACACAAAAGTCGTTCGTTTTTATACCAAAATTAGCTCAAGAATTGACGTTTCTATTACTGACACTAACATAGGTATTTTGCTAGACAACACTTTTAAAAAAGGATATACTAGGTAATCAAGAATAAAAAACATTGTTATGGTTGAGTATATTGGTTGGGACGCATACCTGATTTGTTTTCGATTTGGCATCTCATACACATGCTGGAGATATAAATACAGCATATAGTTGAGTATTTTTGTTTCGGCCAGGAAAACCTTCAAGGGTCACATACTTGCTTGATCTATATTTCATACGCTATTTTCGGGATCTGATTGATTGGATAACTTGTTTTTGAATAATCACGGCCAGCAATACCTTCATTTGATTACCGAGCCAAACACAGTGGAATATGAAGAGAAATAAATAATCGCTATTATTATTGTTGATATGCTCACTAACATAACATTTTCCACTTTTTTTCCTATACCTCGCACTGGCGCGGTATTTGCTGTTAGGGTTGGCACTTGATCTACATGAATTCATCGATTCAATAGAATACACAAATATGTCACTCTGTGCCCTGTGGTTGTATTTATATTGAAACTACAATTTGAAAATTGAATAAACCTGGTCTTTAAATGCAGGTAGGGTATTCTCACCACACGGATACTTTGACCACACGGATACCATAAATATGGCACGGCATCCACGTTTCGGGTATAGTTAGTATTGAATTCGTGCCTGTACTATCTGATGACATGATGCACGTCAACACAAATTGTAACAATGTGAAGTAGTCCGAGGTCTTCCTTCTATCTACTTACTCATATTATTATAATAATCTGTCACAAGCGAGTCACATTGGTGGTTACTTCACTTATATATATTTTAGTTCATTCTTTCGGTTGCAGAAAAAATTGCATGTTTTATTCGGATCTAGAGTGACTTTGACAAGCGAATTTTGCATTTGCGAGGCGGATAGTCATTTTTGATCCTAATAAAACAATCTGCTATTGTTTGTATTGAATAGGCTCGGAAAGTACTGGACCGATTTTAAAAAATCTTCTGCCATTAGAAGCCGACATTATCCCTGATGAACATAGGCTACTTTTTAACGCGGGAAAATGCTTTATTCCTACGGGAAAAAGGGTAATACGCGATAGGTGGCGCTGCTGTCGGTACTTAAACTATTAAACGGCTTGACCGATTGGGTTGGAAACAACAAAAAATACAAAAGATACTGAAAAAATGAAAATAGGTGTAAGTTTATAATAGTAGCTACAGGTAAGCACAAACAATTTGAAAAAATATCAAAAAATATGTACCTACTGTAGATAAACGCATAGCTCAGAACGAGTGCAACAAATGTCTGATTTTTTTTAATGGGTAAACCAACCGTGCGAAGCTAATTTCACAATAAATCTAGTCTGAATTTAGCAGATAATGAAGAATATAGCTAGCGAATAGCTGAAGAATAAAAAACGAATACAAAAAATAGAAGAAAAAGAAGGCAACTTGGCGTCGTTGATTATGATCATGAAAAAAAAAAACGATGATCAGTTAACTAACAAAACAACTATGAACTGTGTAGACGTAGGCTAACGAATAACAAGAGATCAAAAATCCACACAAGGAAAAATGGTAAACAAAAACATACATACTTCTTTGCATTTTATAGTACTATACATTCTGAATGCACATAAAAAATTCTTCATTGTTCCCTATTTTAACGTTTCCTGTAAGACAAATATCAACTGATATAGCAATTGAGTACAATATAAACAATCACCCTGTACATAACGTACAAGAAATATCAAGCAAATCCAATAAATTGTAAGTTGCAAGAAATCATATGAAATTATCATCATTTAGGTTATTGAGCATGTGTCGAACAACCATGAAGAATACCTTCTGAAAGTGTCCAAAATTAAAGTGCCTTTCGCCAGAAACGAACCGCGCACTGAAGTCAAATTCGTGAGTTTCCAAAAGATGCTCTTCAAGATTTTCTTCATATACAAACAGAAGAAGTTCTTCTGGACGGTGCAACTAGTGGGACCAACGAAAGAAAGCAAAAACTACAAATTCGAGGTCGATGTTATCGATATGACAGGAGACAAAAAAAGGTATGCATTCAAATTTTCACTTATAATATCACGAGAGCTTCAATTATTTCCGGAAATTTTCTCGAGAACACGAATTTTCTAAATATTCGTGTCCGAGAAAAAATTCCTGGATATTAATTGAAGATATAGTGGTATTGGGTAAGAAAATTTCACACTAGAAATATTATTAAAAAATAACTTGGATAATGACGATTTTTGATGGTTTTGACATTTGAATAGTAGGCGTATGTCATTCTTCATGTCAAAACTGAAGAGTAGGTATAATATCATAGTGTTTATACAAAAATGTATTAGTATTATTGATAAAATGCACATTCATAAAATTGTTAGGTTAAATAAAACCCCATTAATCTACTTTAGTTACACAAAATGATGAGAAATGAATCGATAGTAGTTGACTTTTGAAATTTTTCACAAATTCAGTTCACTAAAGTTGGTAGAAATATATTTTCCTGCAAGGAACCCAAAGTACTATTCAGTATATCCATGAAATTTTCGCGCATAATATTATTAGGTTGAATAAAATATATTTGAACGACTTTAGTTGAATAAATTGAAGAAAAATAAGTCAGTAGTAAATCAATCTTCCAGTATTTCACAAATTCATTCAACTAAAGTTGGTAGAAAATAATGAAAAAGGTGCCTATTTAAAATGATAATAATATAAAAATAGTATAATTATAAGTTCTCTATCATTTCCAGGAGACCTAATATCTTAGTTATCGACTTTAGTTAATTGAAAGTTCTACAGAAAAGTTAATTATGGTTTAATATATATATTTTCGATCGATCTAATCTACTATAGTCGTAGCAATTATTTATTCACCGAATTTGTTTGGGATTATCAAAAATCAATTGCTTCTGCCGTGTGAAAAATATGGAGCTTTTCGTGGATTACAACAAAATGAGATTGTTTCAAAGTACTACATATATTTCATGAAACATAGACATTTTATACGTTCTAGTGAATGTTCGCCTTTATATTTGAAAAAAGGAATTTCAAGAACACTTAGATGATAAAGTTGTAAAATGATGGTTGTTTGTGATGAAATGTAAGACTAACGTATAGTAACAACATGTGTTTTTGTAAATTTCGAATTTGCAAGTATACCTACATAATATTATATGGTGAACTGTTAATAAATGATTTTTATTTATTGACTTATAGAATGAACTCGAAATAATCTGAAGTTGAATGTAAATGTCATTCAACCTATAAACGTCACGAAAGTGACTTTGTTCGTCTCGCAAATTTTGCTTTCGCTCGGCTTCGCTAAACGCTCCGCCTCGCAAATGCAAAATTCGCTTGTCAAACAAAGTGTCACTTTTGATCCTAATAAAACAATCTACTATTAGTTCAAAAAATTTGATTATTTTATTTTTAATGTCCCAATTTTCCTTATCGTTTGGTAATACAAAGGTAATACAACGAATATGTCATCTATAATTTTTTTACTGTTCAACAAAAAGTCGTTTATTTGATGTAATCATACCAATTTATTTTCCGGCAACGTCTGTTATTTTGGCACGTTCAAATAGAGCTATTTTTCGGACAAATTCTCTTCATAAAAAAATCAGCGAATTTGAAAAAAAAAGGATAAAAAATTAGCAATCGCCACGATTTAAACAAGTAGCTTTTGGAAACAAATAGAAAAGTTGCAATCATCATAAGAAAAGCTTTCATGTGGTGGAAGAATAGTTTGAATTAAAAAAAAATTATGTATGTATGAATAAATAACTATTTTCTAGACTGAGAGGAGTTTGAAAAAATCTAGAAAAACATATTCTTCTGCAACCGACACAAAAGTCGTCCATTCAGACACCAAAATTAGCTCTTAAATTGACGTTTCTATTACCGACACAAAAATAGGTATGTTGCTAGGCAACATATTTAGTTCCTAGGAGCTAAATTTGAATTTTAGTTCCTAGGAGCTAAAGTTGAACTTTAGCTCCTAGGAACTAAAAAGGATCTACTGGAAGTCATCAAGAATAAACAACATTGTGACGGTTGGTTATTTGGGTTGAGACGCATACCTGATTTGTTTCCGATTTCAGCAGATTTGGCATTTCATACCCATGCTGGAGATATAAATACACCTTAGTATACTTTAGTATTGGAATTATGAACATCTCAGTTAAGTATTTTTGTTTTGATCAGGAAAGCCTTCAAGATTCAAATACTTGCTTGATCTGTATTGCATTCGTTATTCTCGGGATGGATAACTTGTTTTTGAATAATCACGGCAAGCAATAGTTTTTTTGTCTCAAACAACGATATTGTTTAGCTTCATTTGATTATCAAGTCAAACACAGTGTAGTATGGAGAGGAATAAATAATCACTATTATCATTGTTGATATGCTCACTAACCTAACATTTTCCACGTCTTGTTCCTATAGCTGGCACTGGCGCGGTATTTGCCATTAGAGCACCTGGTCCATACACAAATATGTCACTCTGTGGTTGTATTTATATTGAAACCACAATTCGAACATCCTAGAAAACCTGACCTGCTGTTAATGCAGGTAGAATATTCTCACCACATGGATTATTTGTCAATATTTGTTGCATTGCATACATATGGCACGGCATTGGTGGTAACTTCACATATTTATTTGAGTTAATTGTTTCTGTTGCAGAAAAAATAGCATGTTTCATTCGGATCAAAAGTGACTTTGTTCGACTCGCAAATGCAAAATTCGCTTGTCAAACAAAGTGTCACTTTTGATCCTAATAAAACAATCTACTATTATTAATGACCGGTCTTAAAAAAGAATCCCACTTGAAAATTATCAGACTGGCCTATTTTGTTATGCTAGGTTCTTCATGGTGGGCAATGTGGCCAATCTAGATGACGACTGGCGTCGTGTTCAAAGGCCTCGGGGTTTTGTTCTCTTCGCCGCTTTGGAGCAATTGGAGGGGTTTATTAGGGAGGACCAAGGGGGGGACTTTTCATTCAGAATCAAAGTCATCAAAAGTTAATTCGGATAAGTAGATTTTGTCTAATCAGGATTTTCCGAAATTGATTATTTATTTTTGAAAGATTCCTGGAAAATTTGCTGAACAAGGAATTTTTGATACTGAAGTATTATGTATATGTTACCAATTCCTTAATTCTTGATTTCATTCATTTATGCCTATTGTTTGTCATTTTATTTTGATTTTAGATTTATTTAAGAGAAGTAATGTATAGTTTGTTATTGTGGAAAAGCATACATATTGTTAGTATTTACATTAAAAAATCAATTTGGAAAGTTTCAATGATGTTTCAATTATTTGAACCTAGAATATTGAATTATATACAATATTCTGAATGCAACATATGTTTTTAGTCAAGACCAAGAAATATACAGGGTGAGTCATAACAATTGGGACGTAGACTAAGGGCAAATTGTTTGGACCAAAATATGGCGATAAGACAGAATATGCCTCAATAAAATATTGCTCAGGAATAATTTTATACAGGGAATATCATTTTATGTATTATATTCTACAAATTGTCACAGGGGGCGCCACGTGAATGATTTCTGATGATGAAATCGACTGATAACTTTTTTTTGGCGAAACTTCAGTGATATTGATAAAAAAATATGACATAAACATCATTTCTACGTGATATTGGTAGATTATCATCCCTTTTCGAGAAAAACGCAATTGAACAGTTCAAAATCTTTGAAGGCGATTTCGAATACTATTTAATTCATGAAGAGTGCTTTGGACTATCAGATAATTATTGCTGGTGAATTACATTCCTTGTCTGGGAATTAATTTCAGTGCGTGTTTATAGTCAATACTTTTTTTGATTGAAACACCCTGTATATTTTTACACATCAATATTTCATTGAGGCATATCTGGTCCTATCGTCCTATTTTGTTCAAAACGCCCTAAGCCTATGTCTCAATAGTTATGACTCACCCTGTATATTACACTTACACTATGAATGAATTCTGAATTCCACAAATTTGAAGTATACCTACCATTCGTATTCAAAATCTTGCCCGGAAGTATATATTGGCCAAGCAAGAGAAACATTCAATAAACGCATTAAGGAACATTGAACAGAAACAAACCAAACAATCAACGCTTCATTCCGAAAAAAATCATGGTTTGAAGGTGGAACATAATGTACCTAATAGAATTAGCACTTCTGCTCTAACAATCCTTAGGCCCTTCCCTCTCTCAACTATTATTCAACCCTAAGAAACCCGACAATATGAAAATTACCGTAAGCGAGCGGCTTATTATCAGAACTACTCACCTAACATATTAGGAAGACGTCTCAAAGAGCCCATAAACCGGAAAGGGAATAAGGGTCCGAAGGGATACAATTTCGGTCGAGAGGGTGGATTTTTCTGAGCATAACCGATCAATCTTTGGAAGAAGTCCATGGTAACTCAAAGTGGAGTGGTGTAGTTCATAGATGAAAACCCGAAGTCATCTCCACAACTTTTATTTAATGATCATAGATCATATAAGGGAACATGTTTCGGGCTTATATAAGCCCATCATCAGCCAAGAAAATGTAAAGTTCTAAAAAAGGACAGATTTGACCTATGGTATGATACAATAATATTTTACTTACATGGAAGTGAAAAATGTCGCAATGTGATGTATACAATAAGCAATAACGGAGCAAGCATGCAAAAGCCATTGCTCCATGATCTGGAAAAGGAACAGTGAAAATTTTTGAAAAAATATCAATATGAGCGAAACTTACTGTTTATATGATAAAAATGTTTTTTAAAAAATTTTAATAAAGTTGAAGGTTGGGGGTTTACTACCAACTACTAATCAAAGGAGATGGTTTGCTTCAATTCCATACTTAGGTAAAGTTTCTCAAGACATCAGCAATATTTTTCTTAGATTCTGTGATAATCTGAATATGTCTTTCTACACCACAAACTCGATATCACGTATGTTTGTCAATAATAAGGATAAAATTCCCCCTCTCCATAAACCAGGTGTATATAAATTATCTTGTTCACATCCCAATTGCAATTCCCAGTACATAGGCCAGAGTGGTAGACGGATTCAAACCAGAGTAAATGAGCATATTAAATACATAGAAAAAGCCACTTTTCCTCCCCCTCTGGGTGTATTTAAAACTGGTAGTTCCTTTTCTGACCACGTTCTCAACTCCAAACACAGTTTTAACGTTGACAATAGTTTAGAAATCCTACACATATGCCAAAAAGGCCGTTTATTAAATCTTTTGGAAACTTATGAGATAAATTTGTCATTAAATAATAATAATGTAACTTCTTTGAATGAACAAACTCAATATGATTGCAACAAATTTTTCAATTCATTGAATTTTGCTAAATAATTGTCATTTGCCATGTACACTTTTTTCTAGATTTTTGGATTGTAAGATTTCTGATTGTACCAATCTTGTTTTCAGTTTTGTTGCCAATCTGACGTAGTGATGTGCTATGGTGTTGCCCCCCATCACCTAATCTGTCTATGCAACTAGTTGTTCCATGATCTGGATGACTTGACAGTTGACAGCAAAAAATTTTACTGTTCAGTGCTTCCGCACATGTGATTCTTTTCTTGGTTATTTCCGAAGCCACATCTTTCTTATTATAACAGATTGATATTTTCAAGTTTAATTACCACTTATCGGTGATTTAAGGGTACCGTGGGCCCTTATTAAATATGTTTCCGACCCCCAACCTTCAACTTTATTAAAAATTTGTAAAAAACATTTTTATCATATAAACATTAAGTTTCGCTCATATTGATATTTTTTCAAAAATTTTCACTGTTCCTTTTCCAGATCATGGAGCAATGGCTTTTGCTTGCTCCGTTATTGCTTATTGTATACACATTGCGACATTTTTCACTTCCATGTAAGTAAAATATTATTGTATCATACCATAGGTCAAATCTGTCCTTTTTTAGAACTTTACATTTTCTTGGCTGATGATGGGCTTATATAAGCCCGAAACATGTTCCCTTATATGATCTATGATCATTAAATAAAAGTTGTGGAGATGACTTTGGGTTTTCATCTATAACCGATCAAGTTTACGCAAACATAATATTGGATTTATGTTGTTGTTGGTGATGTTTTCTTCAAGAAATGACTACACTTGACTATCTAACTATGGAAATAATTATCGCATCTCTTCAAAATGATGTTCCCGACAAGATGATAATCAAAGTTGTGCAAATTTTCAAAAATTTCAAGAGCCTCGTTTGGAAGGAATATTTTTCTTTTTTTTTTTCAAAGTTGAAAATAATATGGCACCATCTATTTTCTAGAAACGATTTTGAAATGTTTGGAATTCTGACACCCATTAAGTCATTACTGAAATATGCATATTTTTATAAGATAATACATAATTTGATACTGGTTTAAACGGTGGTCAAAAATCGAGAAATGATCAACATTTCCATTGATACAGGTTGTTCCTCAAAGAACAATCATATCACTGAATGAAAACAAAAATTAATGAAAGCTCGTGTTGTGACCTACCATTCGTAGCAAGAAAAGTTCGAACACGTACGAAATTTATATTGAAACTACAGAAATACTTTTTTTTTTCATCGTGACAAGTCAAAGCCCAAGAAAAAAATTTTAAAAAATTAACGGTAGTATACTTTATGGTGTAGAGTAGGTAGTATTTTAGTCATGGATTGAAGAATGTAAACTTAGCCGCATTATCTAAACATCAATATGAATCAAACACCTTACCTTAGGTACTGATATTTTTCAAATAATTTCAAATAATTATTGAAATTTACGATATTTCATAGCATGAAAAACGCAAGAAAATGCGTGACGAACATTTCGACTCATGTATCCATTCTCTATTTCTGTAAGAATATATTTCTGATTGTCATTTTTATCAGAATATCAAATGCATTTTCTGGATTGGATACGAATCAGATAATCTGAGGATTATCTTTGAATATTCGCACTGTTTGTTAGATTTGACTGAGATGTTCATAAGTACCTATATGGTCGTGTTTGTACTGATGCGAGTGTCGTCAGTTTTTGACCAATGTAACCATGATAACAATATTCTTATAAACATCCCAGATTTGACTATATGATATGTTATGAAAATGAAGGTGACAAACGATGAATATGACTTTGAGTTAGGTTATATTCTTCTTTTCTTGATATTGTACTCTACTCATTGAAAAATGTCATAGTAGTGGGAAAATGGAAATTCTATCGATGAATAATTTTATTTCTCGCCAGAAAGTTGGTGGTCTTGCGTTGTGGACACAAGGAAAATAGTACCTCTAGTGATTTTTCGTTCAGATGAAAAATTGTTCTCATTTCGCTCTACTTTTGATGTGAGATTATGTCTCTCAGCGACCAGAAACATTGTTTCTTTCGATATCATTCCAATAAACATTTGTGATTATATTGATAACTGAAATAGTAGTAGTGTATGCACTTCGTTGGTATATATGTACAGGGTGGCCAACTAAGACTCCAGAGTTCGATTTCTCTGTTGTCTTGAGAGATACAAAAAAAATACATGAATCAAAATTGAAGTAATATCCGAGCTTCACATTTCAAAATTTCTTTGAAATACACAGGGTGTTCCGTGAGGTCACAGCACATCAAAGCTATGTTTTTTTCATTGGATCGCCCTATATTTTATTTCATTTTTGAATTCTCCCTGAAGATCTGATTTCAATGACCCATCATACTTAGGGTCTAGCAGTGAAAGTTACTGACATATAGAGTGTGCAAAATCGAGATTTCCCAAGTTCAGGATTTTTTTCTGTCGAAAATGTTCATTATTCGTCAAAACGGTTTACATGTCCCTATCTCAACTTTTTACCCACTATCAATTGGTGTTCAATTGAAATTGATACAAGGTGGTCAAAAAATCTAAATTTATAATGTGTTTCAATAAAATATCGAATCGAATATAAGAAACATGCCTTGCCCTGGCTGGGATTCGAACCCACGACTTCGCGGTCATGAGTCGGGCGCTTGTCCACTGCCACTACTCTCGACTGAAATAAATTAGTGGAAATTCATCTTGTGTGATTTGAACAATGTTTATTGCCTAGTGTCTTCAATCCGAGGACACGTCCTGAAGCCTTCAGCCGAGGTCTGAAAATAAATTGACATGCAAATACACCTTCTAGAATGAATGAATGAATGAATGAATGAATTTGTGCATTTTTTATTAAAATATATCAAGTAAATAAATTCCGTGCTCAAAGGGTTAAAGCCTTGATATTTTTATTTTAGAAATATCCCCCAGATAAATTATTGATCGCCTTGTATCTTAATAACTTCACTGCACGCATCCCT